AAAGCATTTACCAGGGTCAAGTGTCGGAACTTCCTGTCAGAGCAAAGTTTCACACAGACCCAGGCCTTTTATCACAACTCAAGAATGTGAAAATAAAAGAAACACCCCATGAAGCTCTCTTAGAATGTGCATTAAAATGTGTACGCTAGTAATGAATGTTGGTAAAAGTGACACTTTTAAACCCAAGCATTTTTTTAACTTAAGAATAAGGAAAGGTACTTGCTGGTTAACAATGGCTCTGCAACTGAGCTTGCATGAACTGTAGAGTGAAAGGACTCTGTTTCTTACCGTTGTTATGATAAAAATATTATGCTATTTTTGCTATTGACCACCATTTGACTTGTACTGAGACTCGCGTAGTCAGTGGGAAAACTCTGAAACGACCAGACAGACCTTGTGTGTGAAAACGCTGAAACGACCAGACAGACCTTGTGTGTGCTTGCCATTGATGGGAGATGCTACTCATTATCTGTTCTAAGGTTCCTGCAAGACTTTGTCAATTTCATGCACATACTTCCTGTTTCTGCATTTCTGAGTCAAATGGTGAACAATAGCACATAATATAATTTTGTCATAACACAGTAACATGTACACTGTGAAAAGGGGCCAGTGCGTTCATGAGTATTGTAACAGTTAAAGTATTATTGAACTTGAATATACAGTATGTACCATCTGGTCTGTATGATTAAAGTGAAACACATTAGGAAGAATTTAAATTAGAAAACCTGGTGTTGTCTCTCTGTCATTCCATCTCTAGTCCATTTACTTAATGACTGTGAATCACAGTCAGTATTTTCCAGTTTTTGATTGTGAATATGTTAAAGAAGGCTGTGATAATTAGCAAATAGTTCCATCTACCAGCAGGGGGCACTGAAGTGTTAGTCACGAAGTGGAGGAGAGGAAAGGAAATGGATGAGTGACTTGAGTGGTGCAGGACGTGTAAAAGTGCAGTAAGATGATATGAAGATGATATAATCTACATAAGATGATATAAGACGTTATTCAGGTGTGAATTTTATGTGGGTTTATGGTCCATCTGGAGGTTAGAAGTAAATATTGCACCAATAAACAGAATCTCATCTTAAAGTATTGAGAAAATACTGAGTTTACCAAAGAATATTTAGAAGCATTTTTTAAATTCAAGCCAGCCATAGCTGATCAAATGCATTCCCTCAGCCCCCCTCCCCCCCTCCCAAAAATGTGTCCCTCAGACAGATCAGTTCAAGAACATGACAAAGCACCTGGTGGAGACAGACTTGTCTCTTGTTACTGTTAGGTGCTTCAAAACAAAGTAGAAGAACATGAGACAAAAGCTTTGTTGCAGGCATGTTGGACACCTGGGTTTATTAAAATGAATCAAAAATAAACATAAAGAATCTGTGTCAAACAATACAAGAAAAAAAGAAAAACGTCATCAGAGGAAATCCTCACTGTACACGACTTGGTTCCTCTTGTCTCTGTAGGAGCCTTTGGTGCTGTTCTGCACAGCTGTGAAAGACAGTCAGAAGGTTACATACCTGTTCTAACACACAGACTCCGACCGGTGTCTAAACGTGTGACATGATGAAGTATTTACCTAGTGAAGCCCACACAGACTTGCCGGTCGCAGCATCCAGCATAGGCTGCTTCCTAGCGATGCTGACTTTGATGTGAACGTCCCCCACTGTGCTTCCATTCAGCTGTGAGACACAGAAGGACAGGGGTCACTGTGAGAGCACAGCAGGCTCCTCTGTGAGCAGTAAAGAACAATTTTCCTCTGCTGATTCCCTCTGCTGAGTTAATATTGTAGACTACGAATCTTCTTAGTCAACAGCATCTTCTTCCATAATTATTGACTAGGATTAGGTTTCAATCTAGACAAGAATTTAAATAAATAATAAGCCAGAAAGGCTGTTTTCTAGGCTATACATTTCCGACACACTCCTCCTGTCTTCTGCTTTGCAAAGGTCATCAATATTTATCAGAAGTGATGTATTTGTTCATAATAACTATCACCCACCTCAGTTACAGCCTGATCTGCGGACTCCATCTTCTCAAAAGTGATAAATGCACAACTATAAAAAAAAGATATGAATAAAATAAACATTGATTCAATCTGCACACATTTATGTTGCAGTTTTGTGTGTCATTGTATAAAGGACCGTTAGACAACAGACATAAATCACTTCATTGTGATTTTTTTAAGATAAATTTTGGTCATTACTTGCGTGGGTTGTCCATTGAGAGGTCAATAATGTTTCCATGAAGAGAAAAGGACGAGCGCAGGCTGTCCTCCACCAGTCCAGAGCCGTAAACATACACAGTGTTTCCTTTCCGCACACCTCTGCGCTCTGGGTACGAGTCAGACCCTGAGGGTGAACACAGGGAATGGAAAGGTTAAAATTCTAACACTGACATGTCCCGGCTCTGTCACACATTACAGCACAGACATAGTGTGATGATGGTGGTTACTCACTTCTAAACGGTCCATCTCTGTCTCTCTCCCTGTCTCGTTCTCGCTCTCTTTCTCTGCTTCTGTCCCTGTCTCTGTCTCGATCCCGCTCCCGGTCTCTGCCCCTGTCTCTCTCCCGGTCCCTGTCCCTCTCCCGGTCTTTTTCCCGCTCCCTGTCCACATCTCGGTCTCTGTCCACGTCCCGGATGGACGAAACCGCCCCTGCCTCGTCCTCATCACGGTATCGGTCACTTGAACTGACAAAGCTCTCATACAAAGATTTTCTGTTGGCTCTTTTTCCAGGCTAGAAGGAGCAAAAGTAAGTGTACATTAGAGCAGACAGTACTTCCTGTAAAGCACACACACTGTGTGTCATCCAAGCTAGCTAGCTAGATAGACAGATAGTACTTTATTGATCGCAGGCTGGGAAAATCCACTTATTTGATGGAGACATTTTTGTTTTTATTGCATTTCTGTTTCAAGTGTTTCAAATCCTGGAAATGGGGATTTCTTCCCCAAATGAAAACAAATTCCAAAAATGTCAAATTCCAAGAACAAAGTAAAACTCCAACAATGTAGTACTATTGAAATGTGTTAGAATATCACTTAACCTCAAGCTGCTCTTCATCTGTGGAAACACTTCTTTGAAATGGTAGGAACGCTGGAACTGGGCCTTTTTCTGGGTCCTGTGTCAGAGAAAGATGGAGAATTTATAAAGCATTCTGTCACAATCTACCAAACGAATCAGATCAACAATGCCTGCACCATATGAGTCTATATAACAGACATGACCTTGACATATATCACACATGATTAAATCAGTGTAGGATCTGACCTTCAGTTTAATCTCCAGCATTCGAGAGCGTTTGAAACCAGAATTCTTGTTCTCTGACTTGATGGCACTGATGGCACCAGACTTGATGAGCATCTTTGCTTGCTCTGTCGCTGTTGCAGTGTCAACGACGGGCTGGTCAGTCGGTGCTGTGATGAACAAACACATGAACAAGACATTCAGCATACCGGTATGAAAGAATGAGGATAACAGTACAAATTAAAATGTGCTGCAAAAGCTGTACTATTACTGGTACTAGTACTAGTTTATACGAAACAATGTCAAGTGAACTTACTTCTCTTTAAACCAGCCTGGTTTGTCTGGCTGGTAGAACTTTGCTTCTTCAATACAAGCACTGCCTTTTTCTAAACAAGACAAAAAATACACAGACACATTAAAAACTCACCTATTTCTGCAAATAATAAGAACGGTATCTAAATGAATATAACAACTTTGATAATACAGATATGAACAAGGTTTATTAAAATATGGTCATTCATGCATGAGCACTTCCCCAACTAAGTTTTCCAACTCATACTGTAAGCTTCTTTATTTCCGTCCATTTAGCTGGCAAATTGAAGGAATATTATTTTTTAATCAGATTCTTTATTCTAAATATGAGATAAAGTGTATTTTGTGCAGTAAAAGAAACACACATATATGATAAATAAAAGGTAAAAAGATAAAAGGTATAAATTAGTAAGTTCATTTTTATCCAAGAGTAATTATTAAAGAATTTTAGTTGTTTATACGTTTATGTGTCTACATTTTTTGTCTACTGTGGTCTAGTTTTAGTCTACATATTAGGTCAATGTTTTTCAGTAAAACACAATAAAGTGGTAAGACAAATGTATCCAACTTTGACACAACAAATATAGTTTTCTTACCTTTTTTCTAAGTTTTGCATATTTCTTTTGCAAAGCCTCCTCTTCTTCAGTCAATGAGTTGGGAAACGCCAACATGACGTTTGTTTTATCCACTAAAACACAACCAGAGCACATGTGCATTAAACTTGTAATACTAACTTTACAATATTTGGAAATATGCCCTTTCTTGTTTTTGTTCTCAACAGAGTATTTAATAATTTAACGGTATTATTATTACCGTTAAAAACGACAATTGCGTGGCTATTTGTGCAGCAATGCTGTTTGTAGTTGTTCTCCTGCAGAAATTTGTAATTGTAACATCTTTTATTTTTTATTAGGCTTATTTCTATTTTATTTTTATTTTTTTTTTACCAATTTTCAATAATAGCGGTGTTATTGACAATGCATTGCGGAAATGTAAACAGGCGATACAATTTTACACCCAGCACATCCATCAACCGCTACTATCCAATCGGTGCTAACTAATGTGCTAGCAAAAAGACAGAGCACGAACGCTTCCAAGAGACTGCACCAAATAGACCAAACAAAATTAAATCATACGTCATTTAGACTAGCTGCTTTGCAGAGATTTGTATACTTTTATTTTTTATTGTTTTTTTATTTTTTTCCTCACCTCACTCCAACGCTGCTGTGCTGCGACTTTAACAAAAACACTGACGCGTACATATGACGTGTTGTCAGCCGATGAGTTATGAGTCGTTTTGATTTTTTTTTATATTTTTAAATCACAAGATCTTATTGACTAAAATGTCATCGTATATTTCGCACAAAAATATTTAATTTTTTAAAAAAAATTTTAGTTACATCGTTTTGTTGCATTTTTGCAAGCTGCTTCCGCTATTGAATTGTGACAACATCCGGTGCGACAATCGTCAGTTGTAACTTGAAGCATCTTGTCTAAGTGGGAACATGGACAGAATAGGTAAGTTGCAGTTCAATGAATGTGCATTAAAGTTATATAAATATAATTACACACTTAATTACGCACTTGTGACACAGCGACTTTTATTTTGCTACTATCGCTCACTTGTGTAATTTGTGTGATGATGATGTGGCTGAATATGTGTGTGTGCAGCCAGCTTTCTGTCAACCACTGCTCTACATTCAGCTTCGCCGCTTTTATAAGTTGATAAATAAAAACCTTTTGTAAAATAATTTTCAATGGTCTTCCTTATGTTTAAATACATACACCTGGCTTTTATGTCAACAACAGAAGGATATGACGTGACAAGATGTTAAGAACATTTTAGGATGAATTAAAAACACTTTTAAAACTCTTTTAGGTTCAATTTCAAACAAGTTTAGTTCAATTCAGCTAAAACCTATTACTTTTCTGCATTCTCGCTAGGCCTACATATTTTACTTAATGTTTAATATACCTAACTTTATTGGTTTGGATAGAATACACACAATTCTGTGGTGTCAATGTATTGTTTTGTCTCTTGTCTTGTTTTTACAGACCTGCCCCCTGTGGGCCCCATGGACCTGCCTCTGTCTCTGCTGGAGCTGGGATGCTCCGGCAGGTTTGAGCTCATCACACACCCCCTTCCAGAACATCAGTTACCTCCACTAAGCACGGTGTGTGAGGAGTGTGTACATTTATGTATTTTGTATAGATTATCAGGAACTGAGAATTGCTCTCACTACTGCTTGTTCTAAAATGCCTGTTGGAAAGTTTCCTATGATTTACATGAGATGCTGTATAAATGCTGCTATAATAGGCCTGCAGGAGGTGATAAAGTGTTGTTTATCACATGACTTGATTCACTTCAGCTTTTCATGCCATTTAACATCACTCGTGTCCACTCTGTATTAGAGCAATGATAAGTGGAAGGACAGTGAAATGAATGAATACAGTGAATGACGGATGTTTTATTTCACTGACCTCATTTTGTCCTCCCAGCTTCCACATGGACTTCCCCCCTCGAGTCTAAACCTGGAGACAGAAGTTGAAAAACAGTTTTTACAGGATCCTGCCTGGCTTCCTATACACGACACAGACTTGGCTTTCCAAAAGTTCCTCAAGTAAGTGCAGCACATTTAAAATGTAATTATTCATGCATAAAAATGTTATGCTTGAGCTTGACATAAATGATTGATTTATAGATTCCTGTTGTTGTTTATGTAAATGTGGAGCCCAGTAAATTCTATCTGTAGGTGTTTTTGTTGACTGGATCTACTTGTAGGAGATTCTAATATATTGTAATACTAATGACAGTCTGAAGACCAAATTAAAAACCGTAAAACTCAGCAGAGATGTGAACTGATGTTTCAACAGAGTTACAAAGAGAGAGCCCAACATCGACTCTCTGCTCAACTGCAATGCGTCACCACTTCACTCCGGTCTCTCAGTTGTCAGGGATCCAACCACAGGAATGCTCCGGGATTTCAAGGAGGTATTTCACAAACATGTGTCATCTCTGCTACTGTAAATCTTTGAATATCATAACTTAGGGGACACATGCCAACTGTGTTTTATTTGCTTCATTTTGAAATAACCCCAATTTGATTTAAGAGTAAACACACATATATAGTAAACACATATACATAAACATATATATATGTCCACATTAACATAATGTAGATTTTTCTTATTTCACTGTTTGATTAAAAATAAAGAATCATTTTGTTTATTTAGGTTTTACTAGAAAACACTGACCTCTCTGCCAAAAACTCGCTCTCTCTACATCGTCAACCGGGGCCTCCGTCAGAGAGCCTACGAGGAAGCAGCACAAACTACCCCTTCCTTCCTGGTGAGATTTTCTCACTCTGTGCATTTTTCATTCAATATTTTAAATATTTCTCCACTGCTGGTGATGACACAAGTATCCAAGTTACTACTTCTTAACCCCTTGTGTTTATTACTCAATTTCCAGGAGGAATGGAAGAGCTTACACTGGAACAAATCCAGAAGAAATCAGAGTTCGAGGAGGATGTAGACTTTGAGAATGGTGATGTTTAAATTTGGAAGAAAGGTTGAATTATACAAAGTCAGTTTTGTCATCGTTATCTCTGCACGGGTTGTTTTACTGGTTGTTTCTCCTTCACAGATTTGCTCAAAATTCCACCTGGATTCAAAGCTGGAATGGACTTCAGTGACAAAGGTGAGAAGTAACGTTCATGAGGACGCAACGCCTGCAAGGATGAATATTTTTAAATTGTTCTTTTCCCATTTTTATTTGACTCAAGATGCCAAGATGGCCAAGCCAGAAGTGAACCTCATGTCCCTCCTGTCCACTTTTGATGACATAATTGACATGCAGCCTGAGCCAGAGAAAGAGGAGAAAAGCAACAAAGAAGAAAAGTCACTCCCCAGAACTAATAGTCTTGAAGATCTGGGCATCAAGGTAACCGATACATTCTTCAAATCTGGACAAATGATTACCTTGAAGTTGTGCTAAATAATTATAATGGACAGTGGTTCGATGATGTATTGATGTTTTCTATTTGAACACAGTATTACTGTGCAAATGAAGTGTTTTTAATTTGAATTATCCCTCCTTTTTCCCCTCTCTCCTCAGGATGCTGTGTCATCCTCCGCTCCCTCAGAGCCTAAAAAGGATGAGAAAATAAAACCAAAGGAAAATCCAGAGCTGAAGAAGAAGTGGGCCGTTCCTGTGGACATCACTTCACCGTGTGATGATTTCCACAAACGCATTCCTAATCCAGCTTTCAAGGTGACTTTGTTTGCCCTCGTCCAGTCGTTTCTGTTATCCGTTGTCCTTTCCTCATTTCCCACATTTCCTCATTTTTCATTTACTGGCTGGTGTTCCATCATCAGCTGATCTCTGTGGTCTTTCTCCCTCCTTTTTTTCCCCCAGTGGCCGTTTGAACTGGACACTTTCCAGAAACAGGCGGTGCTGAGGCTGGAGGCTCACGAGTCTGTGTTTGTAGCTGCTCACACATCTGCGGGTAAAACCGTGGTGGCCGAGTACGCCATCGCGCTGTCACAGAAACACATGACCAGGTATTTGACAGGAAGTTTCAATTCCTAAAAGTGAAATCAAATCTGTACCCTAATCTGTGTTACGGTATCTTTCTTAACAAATTCAAATCTTTTCATATTTTCATTTTATTTTCTCACAGGACCATCTACACATCCCCGATCAAAGCTCTGTCCAATCAGAAGTTCAGGGACTTCAAGAACACCTTTGGTGATGTGGGACTCCTGACAGGCGACGTCCAGCTCAGTCCAGAATCTTCCTGCCTCATCATGACCACAGAGATCCTCAGGTGTTCAGACTGAGTCCATTCCACTGTTAGCAATTTTGGAAAATGTCCAGATGTCCTTCATGAGTCTTTACTCGGTCTCTTCTGTCTCAGGTCGATGCTGTACAACGGCTCCGAGGTCATCAGAGACCTGGAGTGGGTGATTTTTGACGAGGTTCATTACATCAATGATGCTGAGGTCAGGGCCGATCCTACGCTGTGTTTGTTTGTTACTTGTTTTACTGCAGGAGTCAATACTTATATATGTATTTAATATTTTATATAACCTTGTTTTTCTCAGAGAGGTGTCGTGTGGGAGGAGGTTTTAATCATGCTTCCAGATCACGTCAGTATCATTCTGCTCAGTGCCACCGTGCCTAACGCACTGGAGTTCAGTGAGTGGATTGGGTAAGTGCTCCACAATGTCATCTGCTCAATATTAGATCAATGATCTAAAGGAAAAATGCTGGTGCCCAAAGTGCGGGGCGCAGTTATTTCCTTCACTGCAAAAAAAATGGACTGAATCGGTTTTGGATGTACACAGTAGTAAAAATACGTTGCATACTATTTTGGAAGTACACAGTAGTAAAAATACGTTGCATATTTTCTCTAACCTTTTTCTCTTTAGTCGTATCAAGAAGAGGCACATTTACGTGATCAGTACCATGAAGAGACCTGTGCCTTTGGAGCATCATCTGTACACTGGAAACAGTACCAAGACCCAGAAGGAGATGTTCCTGCTGGTGGATGCTGCAGGGAACTTCCTAACCAAAGGGTAAAACAGTTCAAACAGTTTGCTGTAAATTATGACATTTGTCAGTTAAGTCTCAAAACCTGTACTCAGAAAGACTGACTCGTTGTTTAGGTACTATGCAGCAGTTGACGCCAAAAAGGAGCGAACCAGCAAACACGCCCAGTCCTTTGGTGCTAAAAATACTTCTCATAACACGACAGCCAGTCAGGTACTTCATCCCCGTCTGTCCGTCCCCTCTACACGTCCATCTTTGTGCTCACACGTCTTTCTCTGAACGTCCCTGTCTGCGTTTCCCGCCTGCAGGACCGCTCTGTGTGGCTCAGCCTCCTTCACTTCCTGTCTGCGCGACAGCAGACTCCAGTCGTCGCCTTCACCTTCTCTCGGACACGTTGCGACGACAACGCCCGCTCCCTGGACTCCATGGACCTGACCACGTCCATAGAGAAGGCAGAGATTCATTCTTTCTTCCAGAAGAGTCTGAGCCGCCTGCGGGGGGGAGACCGCCAGCTACCTCAGGTGACCACCAGTCAGCTGAGCTGAATCTCTTTTTTCTGTTCGAAGAACATTTTGTGTGTGTGTCAACAATCTATTTTTCATAATTGTTTCAGAGTAAATATTACCCTAGAGGGTTATTTAAATCACTGATTACGGATTATAAATTCTAAAATCTAATGTTTAGATCCTGGTGATGAGAGACCTGTTGAAGAGAGGAATAGCCGTCCATCACAGTGGGATCCTGCCCATCCTGAAGGAAGTGATCGAGATGCTGTTTTCACGAGGTCTCGTCAAAGTGAGTCAAAGCAGCTTTTCCAATATAAACTTCACTGACTCGGAGGTGAACGACACGTTCTTCCCTTCATCGCCTCAGGTGCTGTTTGCCACCGAGACGTTTGCCATGGGAGTCAACATGCCCGCGAGGACTGTGGTGTTTGACAGCATCAGGAAACATGACGGCACTGGCTTCAGAAATCTACTGCCAGGTCTGTCTCTCACTGCCTGAAATTCATCCAAAACAGCTTAAAGATACTGCAAAAATATTTTAAAACTGACAGTAGTTTAGACAAAGGAATTGTTATTTTAAAATGTCAGCAAAAATAGCCAATGTTAGCCAAGAGTAAGCTAAGATTAATGGCCTTCTCCGAGGCTGAATGAGAGCTTAAAAAAACAGCAGGATTTCATAATTAGTTTTTAATCATTCTTTAGTACTTAATCATTTTAATTAGCTTCTTTCACTGGTGCCTTCAGGTGAATACATTCAGATGGCAGGCAGAGCTGGGAGGAGAGGCCTGGACGCCACAGGCACCGTCATTATTCTGTGTAAAGCGGGTGTTCATGAGATGGCAGACCTGCACGTCATGATGCTGGTGAGGCTCTCTGACGTACATTTGTTTATGCAATTGTTTTTTTTTTTTCAGAGAAATCGTTGCATTCCGGGTCGTTCATTTAACATTTAATTACACGGCTGAGTGGTTATTTTTACTGGTTCTCCCTCTGTGGAGTCATTTCACTTTAAATGTGCCAATAAAGAGACTCGGAGTTTGTGGAAAAGTGGAAAAGAAACAGTTTCTGCTCTTCTTTTCCTGATGTGAAAATATTCTAATTTTGCAACAGTACTCCCTGACAAACATCTTTAATCTTATCAGTCCCAGGAAACAAAATGCATAAATAATAGATTTTAATAATAATTTTAAATTTTTATTTTTGTTTTGTTTTATTTAATTCTGCATTATAAAACATGTCTTCAGCGAAAAAAAAAACAAAAGAAACCCGAATCAGACGAGCAGTAAACCGCTGACATCTTCTGTTCCATCTGGTTCAGGGTAAACCCATGCTGCTCCAGTCTCAGTTCAGACTCACCTACACCATGATCCTCAACCTGCTGCGAGTCGAAGCGCTTCGTGTGACCGACATGATGAGGAGGAGCTTCTCTGAAAACCACAGAGACACTCAGGTGGGCAGGGGGCGCTGTTCAAACACCAGAAGGAGAAAAAGAAAAAAACACTACTGTAATCAGGCTGTGAATCATGATTCTGTTTCTGTTTCTGTTTCCTCATCCAGAGCCATGAGAAGCAGATCAGTCAGCTGAAACAGACGCTGTCCTCGCTGCCTCCCCTGGACACAGAGGGTCAGCTCTCTGACCTCCTGCAGTACTACCACACAGTGACGGAGCTCAGAACCACCAGTGAAATACTCCAAGTACAAAGACCTCAAAACAAGTCCACATGGAGCACCTAGATCTGCAGGGAGGTTTATAACTGTGTTCTGTTTGTCTTCAGCGTGCGATGCTGGAGTCGGTGAACGGGCTGAAGGCTCTGTCTGTGGGCCGGGTGGTGGTGGTCAACAATAAACAGCATCTGAATGCTCTCGGAGTGATACTGCAGGTGGGCTACTAGGGAATTAGCTGCAGTGACGTGCATTAAGTCACCTGGTGATGTTGAGCCTTCAGAGGACACCAGTCAGGACAGAGTTTTCTTTGTTTTCTTTGACGTGTGTGACTGTATTTTCCCAGCAGACTTTGTGACTCATCTGTCATGTCTTGTCTCCGTGTCAGGTGTCTAACGACTCAGTGAATCGCACCTTCACGGCTCTCATTATCTGTGAGAAAGGCAACGAGGGAGGAGGAGGAGGAGGAGGAGCGACAGACGGCATGTCACTGCCGCACCTCTACAACACGGCTCTGTTCATACCTGAGGGTTGGTTGATTGACATCCAGAAAATAGATGCCCCCCCATACACACACCCACATACATCAACACATTCACAGCCATCGCTTTAAAACTCCTCTGAATTGTATTTAAAACACTGCTGTTGTTTTCATATGGAAAAAGGAAATAAAATTACAAGGAATTGAATTTTTCCCTTTGAGGCACAGTTAAGAAAATATTAAAAAAATATTTATGAGAAACACTGAACAAAGCTGAGCCTGAGTTACATATATACAGTATGTGATAAATATTACATCTATAGGTTGCAGAATTTAGGGTTAAAGGGTTAAAATCATTTGTTAAATTTAAAGCTTTTGGTACAATATTGTTGGAGGTGTACAGCTCCATGTAACATGGGAACTCCAAACGGCTGTGTCACAAAAACACCTGCTCAGATGTGTCATTACAATGACATTTATAGCACCCCCTACAGGAAACAGTGGGAGTTTATGTGTACATGGTGTTCCATGCTGTCCTCTCAGGTCCCTGCAGTCACACGGTGCAAAAGCTGAAGCTTCAGGAGATTACATCCATCACAGTGAAAACCCTCAAAGTCGTGCCTGACAGAATCATCGACAACTACAACAAGAGGCAACAGCCGCGCTTCAGGTTGGTGTCGCAGTGCGTTAAAATGGATATCAATTAGGTTTATAATTTGAGTTGATACAAATGTTAACAATCCATTGAGAACTGTTTCTGTTTGTCTCTGATGAAATCTGTCTCACTCTCCTACAGACTGGATCCTCCAGGCCAGGCTATCTCCACGGCGACCCAGGAGCTCCTTCGATTGGCCGAAGCCAACCCCGGGGGCATCGGGTCTCTGGACCCGGTCAACGACCTGCAGCTGAAGAGCGTGGATGTGGTGGAAGGTTCCATGAGACTCCGTGTGCTGCAGGAGAGCCTCAAAGAGTTCAACTGCATCCACTCACCCCTGTTCCCAGAGCAGGTGTGTGTGTTTTGTTGTCTTTGACATCTGCAGATTACAGTTTTTAATCCTCATGTTTTGCTCATGATGACAAATCCCCGCGCACACGCAGATGCATATGATTAAACTAATTAGGATAATTGCCCCTGTACGCCGATGTAAAACACTCGCAATCAAACTCCTTTTGATGCCTGCGCTCATCTCAGTGAAAAGACACAGATGTCAATAACACCATCAGAGATCACAGGCGTCTGTGGCTCTGTGATGTGTCTGTCTGGCAGCTTCATTTGATCAGATAAGGTGCAGATGGAATCAAAGGCGACTGTTGGTGTAAATATTGTGTACTTTCTGCTGCAGCGTCCCTGTTCTGAAGGAGAAATGTTTTCTCCTCTGCTCTCTCTGATGCTGCGCTGCTTTGAAATCAGGTCAAGCTCTGCACTGCGACCGTTTCCATTTGATCACAGTGTCTGTCCTCTGTCTCTGTCTCTGTGCTTGTGTATTTGTTTTTCAGTTTGCTCGGAGTCATGAGAGGATGTCTGTGCAGGAGGAGCTGGACCGGCTGATGTTCCTGATCTCAGATCAGTCTCTGTCTCTGCTGCCTGAATATCACCAGAGGATCAAGGTTTGGACCAGACGGAGCACAGACTCCAGCCAGGGAACCTTATCTTGGTTCAGTTAGTTATTTAGTTCATCTACGACCAAACTGTAACATGGTCGCACCATGAAACGAGTTTATTTTTGCCAATATGATGTTACTGCGTTAGTGATGATGAAACACCTTCACTATATAAATGTTTCCTAATTTCGTTATTGAAACAGTCATACATGGTAACTGAAGTTGGTCGTGTTTCCTGTCAGGTCCTGGAGTCCCTCCAGTACATCGACAGCAGCGGCGCGGTGCAGCTAAAAGGCCGCGTTGCCTGTCAGATCAGCAGCCACGAGCTGCTGCTGACCGAGCTGCTCTTCGAGAACGTCCTGAGTCCCATGGCGCCTGAGGAGAGCGCCGCCCTGCTGTCCTGTTTGGTCTTTACGCAGAACACGCAGGTGGAGCCGCACATCACCAACACACTGCAGGAGGTGAGTGGGCGTCAGCATCGGTACCAGAGGACAAACGGGTATTTAAGTAGCACTGAACACGATGTGACTTTGTTTTCTCCACTGGTGACTCACACACACACACACTCACCTTGTATTACATTGTGCAGATTTGATGTGCAATAAAACATCCTCCCTCTGCAGAGAGGACAAGGGCACTTTAGCAAACTCACCCGAGGCTAAGACTCTCTCAATAATTCAGCGGTCAGGTCTTCCTCTCTCAGGGACGCCCTTGTGTGAGTATTTGTCGCGACCGTGTCCTGAGGTCTGTGTTCTAGGAAGAGAAGACGAGACACAGAGCAGTTTGTCAAACAGAGAAACTTTTCTTTATCAACTGTGACAGGCTGAAGGTGTAGAAATCAAACAGAAGGAGAGACGGAAGGATTTAGGTTTAGGCCGTAAATGTGAAAACTCTTTTACAGCAGGTAGAATGAGTCTCTCCTCTCACTGTCTCTTATTGACTCTCTGTCCACTTGAATGGCACTGACTTGGCTTCTCTACTTCTCCGCTCGGACATTTCTTTACGAGTCAGACTCAGATGTGACTTGTTCACTTAACCAAGGTCTTTGGGCATTTTCTTTTGTCTGCTGTGACATAAATTCAGATTTGTCTCCAACTTTTCTTTCACAAAAAAGACTTGTTGACTTGGACAGCTCATACCCTTCACAGAGACTGATTTTCATTGACCTGAGGAAGAGCCTGACTCAGGGACTTAAACTCCATTCGGTGACTTGAAAATCAATTGACTTGAGTTATCTATAGTACTGTAGTTTGGTTTCAGACTAAATTATTCACCATCTTGACTGGGTGACTCTCTCTCTCTCCCCTCCCATCCCCCCACCCGCCCCTCTCTCAGGGCATCAAGAGTGTACTGTCGGTGGCCCAGCGTATCGGCGAGCTGCAGAGGGAGTGTGGGATACCACAGACGGCTGAGGAGTTCGTTGGCCAGTTCAAGTTCGGTCTGACAGAGGTGGTGTACTGCTGGGCCAGAGGCATGGTGAGACCTGAACTATTGTCATCATGTATCTGGATCAGACATTCTCCAGTCTGATGAAGTTCTCACCCTGTGTCCTCCTCTGCTCCTGTCCCGTTCCTGCTCCAGCCGTTCGCAGAGATCGCGCTGCTCACCGACGTCCAGGAGGGCACCGTGGTCCGCTGCATCCAGCGCCTGGACGAGGTGCTGAAGGAGGTGCGACAGGCCGCCCGCATCGTGGGAGACTCCGTGCTGGGGAGCAAGATGGAGAAGGCCTCGCTAGCCATCCGCAGGGACATCGTCTTTACCGCCTCTCTCTACACCCACTGAGGAGAGGAGGGAAGGAGAGGAGGACGGTGAATTATAAAACAGTCGAGGTGGGCTGTATGGAGGAGGTACAGTGATGGTGGACAGGAAAAAAACCTCAACAAATGTGCCTACAGAACATGTCAATGTTTACATGATGAATGTCTTATCAGGAAGAATGAAATTATTTTTAACTACAGACCAAACTACAGCAATCATGAAATCAAATCCTCGGTGTAATTTATTGTACAGAAATAAAACTTGTATTAAAACAAACTGGTGTTGGTTGTCTTTTCACCGGCACTGTGTTGCTTTGTCTCATGCCTTACAAGAAAAAAAAGAATCTGTCTAAATTAAAATTAATATTTACACCTGAAAAAAAAAGAGTCTGTCTAAATTAAAATTAATATTTACAATAATAAAACGTATCCAAAAAAGGACTCTCTGTTCAGCAGTAAATACAGTCCATTCACCTCCCTGTCTAATCTGTTACCATGGAGATCATTCAACTCTGGTTGGAAAATCGCTCTAGGACAACGTGCGTGTTGGTGACGTCATGTCACAGACACAATTAAAAAAAAAAAAGATAAATATCCATCTGACTAAGTCACCTTGTCTTTGTTGAGAACTGATGGGATTTTCCTGCAAAAAAAACAAAAACAAAAACAAAACGGCGCCTGTCCCTTTAAGACAACCTCGACTCTGTGTCTCATTAATTCAATGTAGGACGACGCGTTAGTGGAGAAACCTTATTATTAGACCAGCAGCCGACACACACACACACACACACACACAGCTGGGGTCCATTGCACCTGAACTTATTGTTTCCAGCATCAAATCGCGGATTTGAGTGCGCGTTTATTCTGAAAATGAAGACTTGAGGATGGCGTGCGCACCTTTGGAATAAAAGTCTGCCTCTGTTGCGCACGAAAGGAACGATTTTTTCCCCCCAACAGCAGCAACAGAGTGAGAAAAAACCCAGTAAAACATAGGGGACCGCAGAAGACAGAGGAGAGAAGACAGGAAGGAATGTCGTCGGAAAAACACGGTGAGTGTGTGAGAGAGAGTGTGTGTGTGTGTTACCATATATTCCTGTGGGTATGTTTTGATTCTGGAGTCTAATGGAGCCAATCCTGATGTGAGGGGATCTGTTTAAAACCCTATTGTTTCCATAATCCAACAGACTGGGGGATTAATCAGAATTATTTTCAGCTCCTGATTTTACTGGATGATGATGATGATGATGATGATGATGATGCATCTCTGTGTGGGTGCAGCAACAGCAGCAGCAGCAGCAGCAGCAGCTTTGGGATATTTTTACCACAGGGCCTTATGTCACATATATGATGCTGAAAATTGATTTATTTTAAACCATCACAACATAATTATTGATTTTTTTATCCTTGTTTTTGAGTCACACATTCTCTTTAAAATGTGTTTATTTCCTGTATCAAATCTTCATATTTGACTTTATTGGCTGTGTATTCATCATCAGTGTCGTCTCAGTGCCAGAGTATTTTGCATTTAATTCTATTTAATTCTAATCCCTTCTAATCTGCTCCACAACAGTCAGTACAATGGTGCTGGCTGCTTCACACGTCTCTTTTCTACATCGTGTCAAAGTGCTATTCACATGATGATATTTAAACAATAGTGCAGTAATAACACTAGTACACTGGTGTTTCTCAACCACTGTCCCGCGGACCACTACTGATCATCAGGTGTGTCTTGGAATATTGCCCGATTTCACTTAATCGGTTCTGAAAACTATTATTTAATTTTAGTGCAAATAATTCGTCTTCATTCGTCTACTCAACAGTGACAGGCAGAACAATTAAATGCTATTCCTCTAGCTGGCAGCAGATGGCGATAAAAACAAAAGAATGAGATTCTGAGCTGTTGAAGAAGGTCTTTTAGTGTGTCTTTCTTCAATTCCTGCAAGTATATCAGTATTGTGTTCAACTAAACTAGTACAGGTTTGAAACTAATTTAATTCAAACTAAAGGATTTTTTTTTTATTTCATTACGTGAACTTTTGGTGACATTTTTGTAGCAGTGGCTTAAAAAAGTTTGGTGAAAGAAAATGGGAAAAGGAAATGGGCGTTCCAGCTGTTCCTTAGGATGGAATTTGTACAAACTGTGTGTGTAATTTTGTTAAGTCATAATTTGACTGTCTTTCCTTTGACACGCCTCTTTTTCACCTTCTGTCTCTTTCTGCTCCATTTCCTGTTCGTGACGGAGCCAAAGGCTGTTACGTAAATCAGGTCCCAGAGCTCCGCGTCGTCAGGCTTCATCACTCAGACACCACGTCTCCATCCACCGCAGCTCCATCTCCTCTCCTTCCTTCATGATCATGTATATTTGCTCCTGAGTCTGTGGCAAAAAACACATTTTCCTCTTTGTCATTTTTAATTTTAATATATTTGAAGCAATAAAACAGCATTTCCGGCCTGAAAACATCACTGTCATCATTAGCGCAGGTTTAAAAATGTCAGGCTCTTCTTTTTTTTCTTTCTCTGCTCGATGAGCAGCGTCTTGCTGAAGAACTGTTCCCTGTGGAATTATGAAAAATCCAGAACAACTGATGGAAACTCTGTGGTTTATATTTTCTCCTTCTTCTTCTTCTCTCCTTCTACCTCTCTCATGCCTCTTCCTCCTCCTTCCCTTCCGTATCTTTGTCTTTTTTATTTCCTTTATTGCCCTCTCTTCCATATCTTCCTTCTTTCTTCCTCTCTTCCTCTGTCCTCCTTTTCCTCCACCTCCTCCTCTCAGGTCTGGATGACTCTGGTCGTCAGACCATGCAGCCTCCTCCGTACCTCCCCGGGCCCCAGGACCCTAGTTTAGCTCAGCACCCCATCATGGCTCCTCAGCACGGTGGTCCTCCTGGTTACCCTGCTCCTCCTCCTCCCCCCGCGGGCTCAGAAGGCTACCTCCAGGAAACCCAGTTCCAATGCGGGCCCCTGGGACCTGCAGGGGCCCCGCAGGGCTACACCGTCCAGACCCAGGCCACCGGGGGCACCGTGTCACACCCTCCCGTCGGATACCTCCACCCAGGATACCCGCTCCAGCTGCAGCCGTGCACAGCGTACGTGCCCGTCTACCCCATGGCCTCGGTGAGTCACAGAGATTTCACTGATCTGACATCAGTTTTCTGCAGCGTTACGTCAGTCACTGCTCAAAAATCAACACACTGTGGAATCAAGTGTGTTTTTGTTTGTTTCATTCCTGACTTGACATTCCTGGACGACTGCAGTAACATGTTAGGTTCTTGGACAGTTACAGGTTTTGTCGTGTTCACCAATGTCCTCCTCTTATTTCTGTATCCAGGGTCAGCCCTACATGCCAGCAGGGGGAGCCCACACAGGAATACCACCAGGCCAAATCCACCCCATGCAAATGCCTCCCACCATCACCTTGATGGACCGCCGGCCGCCTCACGACTACCTGCCCATCGCCGTGCTCACCACCGTCTGCTGCTTCTGGCCGACGGGCATCATCGCCATCATCAAAGCTGTGCAGGTCGGTGCTGCGTCACACTGTCTTTTTGATGGTCGGGGTTTGTTATTACAATGTGTTGCCCAGAGCCATTTCATCTGTCGGGAAAAAAAATAATTTCTCCAAATAGTTTTTTTTTTAATGAACAAATGAAAATGCTTAAAAACTTAGTGGTCACATGGGGTTGTGGTTATTTTGGCTGCACTTCCATAGTGGCCCCACCAGGAGGACAGTTGATGACAGTGTAAAATGACATGACATTGATTAAAAAAAAGAATTTCCTGAATAATCTACATTTGAGTTTTCATGGAGAAGAACTTGATGACAGAGCATAATGACAAAAGAACAGTTTCTCTCCTCTGATAAACAGTATATGGATGTCGGTAACAGTAGACGAAAGGATCCATTTTTAGCGCATTATTTAAAGATATACCTCACAGCCCTGCAGTAGGGATGAAAAAACAGCTCAGAATATAATGAAATGATGGGTTTTTTAGCTGATTTGGCAGAAAAAACCCAAACAAAAGATTTTAGTTGACACATGCAGAAAAACAAAAACCCGTCAACAAAAGAATTTAGTTGACACATGCAGAAAAACAAAAATGTTCTTGTCCAGAAATTCTGCTGCCAGTGCTGCGGCTGGACCGAGACCCTGAGTGGAAAGTTATACATCACATTCACACAGTTTCTGCAGCGTTGGCTCCAGCAGGCGGCGCAGAGCCCGGCTGTTGGCATCAGGTGTTGAGTGGGATGGCAGAGAGACATAAAGGCTCAGTGTGGAGCCTCTCGTTCTTGGTGGCGTGTGGTTGTTTATCTCTGTAATGAGCTACATTAACATGCACACATCAGGACGGCCGTTACATAACTGCAGCACTGTGGGCGCAGCGGGGAAAACATTGATTTTTTTTTCCATTTTCTCTCCTCTGGGCTGTGTGCTCAGCTGGCTGTGAGTTGAACAGAGCTGACAGAGGGCGAACGCGGCGCTCTGAGCGGCGTGCATGTTGGTGGTGCTGTCGTGTTGGTGTTTCTGTGTCTGTGTGGCTGCAGTCACTGTGGTTTGGTCTCCATCCCTGCAGCTCCCACTCCAGTGTTCAGTCTTCTCTTCTTCTTATATAACATATCTTCTCCAATTTCTCCCTCCCTCCCCTCCTCGCCCACCCCCCTCCTTGCGTCACGTAGGTGCGTACAGCGATAGCCAGGGGGGACATGGTGACGGCGGAAATAGCCTCCCGTGAGGCTCGCAACTTCTCCTTCATCAGCCTGGCTGTGGGCATCGCCTCCATCGTGCTGTGCACCATCCTGACCGTGGTGGTCATCATCGCCTCGCAGCATCACGACGACGACTGGGAGCCGTAACTCAGCTCCACCAACGAGGGGCGAGAGAAAAAAATCAACACATACTTCATCCTGCTCACTATTACTTCATGGCCCTGAGGGAATGGGAAGGTGTTAAATCACAATCATTGCTGGGACACACACACACACACACACCACTCATACACACAACAAGATGCATGTCTGTTTATTCTAAATTCTTTTTTTTTTTGCAAATGAAGTCCTTTTTAATTCATAGTAAAAAATTAATTAGCAAATTAGAAAAACTTTTTAAGGATATTTAAAATCATTAAAATGACAAATTCACATGTGTTCTGTAGGTAGAGTATACAGGAATCTACCCCCTCCCTGCACTGCCACCTGCAGGATGTATCATTAGTGCATCTGAGGCTGACTGAAGCCGTGC